ATCCATTAGTACATCTATGACGAAATTGAATAGAAATGGGGATAATGGGCATCCCTGACGGACACCACTGGTTTCACCACTTCAGGCAGCAACTCACCGTAAGCTCTCACAGGGCTGACTGCATGAGTTCGAGTATAGTTCCTTGATCAGTGCAATGTATTTTCTCGGCATTCCCTTCACGGCTAAGCATCGCCATAGTACCTATCGGTCGACAGAATCGAATGCTACCTTTAGGTCAAAAAATTTGACGATTGTTGGACGCCGGTAAGTATGCCTATGTTCCACAATCTGTCGAAGGGTGAAGATATGGTCAATACACCCTCTTCCTGGTCTAAAGCCTGTCTCTCGTGTTTGTTCCTCCCGCGGACCGCTTAGTTTGCGCCTTGTTATTGAGCCTAGAACTTTAGGTACCATATTAGTCAAGCTAATCCCCCTGTGATTATCACAAAAAGACTTGTCTCCCTTCTTATATATGGGGATGACTAATAACTTACACCAATCTGACGGGACTTCCTCTGATTCCCAGACGCTGCTTAGTACCTTAGTTAACGCAGACAGCAAACTGTCTCCAGCGTACTTAAATACCTCTGGAATCACTCCATCGGGACCTGATGCTTTGCCTCATTTCAGACTAGTGACAGCCTTAGTGACCTCAGTTAGTGACGGAGGACCTGTGTCTATATCCCGTTCTGGGAGGTGTTGAATATTCGGTAAGTTGAGTGTGACTGTAGGCCAATTCAACTGCTCCTCAAAGTGTTCTTTCCAGCGTTCCAGTTGTCTATCCTGGGAGCTAATTAGGGTGCCATTTTCCTCAGAGATTGTTTCACTTATCGTTGTCTTTTACCACCTGTTTCCGTGACAAGTCTAAATATTTGTCTGGTGTTACCAATCGCCGATGCCTTTTCCATCTCTTTCGCTTTTGTCGCCCACCACTATTCACGGTCATTACGAAGACTTCTTGTCATTTCGCGTTCGAGTAGCTTTCGCTCCTCATCATAATCGGAGCTCGTCGGAATCAGTCTTCTTGCGTCAATTAGTTCGGATGAGGCGGTAGAGATCCAATGGCTTTTAATTACTTTTGGTTCTAAGTTATTAACAGCTTTTGCAGCTGTGTCTATAGCTAACTGAATGTTGTGCCAGGCTACCTCAGGAGGAGTCCCGTTGTCGACCTCAGAAACTCGTTTCGCTATTTCTTCCTTAAATAGGGACTCTGTGTCTTGATCTAGTTGGGGACGTAACTGTTTCGCTGCCATCAATTTCTTATGTCCATTTAGTCGTAAGCATAAACGTGCGTGAAGCAGATCATGATTGGAGTCTAGAAGGAGCGGCAGTCTTCTACTGACCCTCGCCAACGATACCCTATGGCTATGTGGTCTATCTGTTACTGCTTTTGGGTTCTAGACACTCAAAAGCCCGTGAGCGATTACAGTAACGCAAAAGAGAGTGTAGTAGATTCAATTTGTTGATTGCCCGCCTATGTTTAACCAACTAGTCACGATGCGCAATTGAATGGGATCACTTCATGGTTGGACGATGGAGGGGGGATGTGCTTACTGGAAATCTGCGTTATAATGACGTAGCTGTCAGTACATGGTTCGAGACTGAATGGGTGATATCTTCAAATCCACATTTGTAAATTACTTTGTTGCAGTTGGCAGCACTGAGATAAATGTGATGGAGTGGACGGTATGTAGGAGCATTGCTAGTTCGTTAAGCTGGAGTTCCATGAGTATGGGTTATTACGTTATTAAATCTCTGGTAAACTGACAACTGTGAGCATACTGTTGTTGAGAATTAGTTAATATGCAATCCTAAAACATTCATTTAGCAGTTAATATGACAATGAAATTTTAGCATATTCGGTAAGTGCATGTGATGATGCTCTCACCGTGTGGACTTGTCCCTCTTATATGCTAAGACTATTATTACCTGTTATTACTTTAGTGCAACAATAGCCGTAACAAGGTGCAACACCGGCACATTTTTAGATACTGATTATCACGAGTAGGCTTTTTTAGCTAGCACAGTACCGAAAGGCATACTATGCAATATATGATTACTACGTTGGTATAATGACTTCGGTTATTGAGGTTTAAGTCATGGAACAAAGTTCCTGATCATGTCAGTGACCAACTCACAAATTATACAGTTACTGAAACAACTAATAAAAATTCCAAGAATAGCATGATTCCAATTTTGTAATTAATAAATCAACTGAAAAATGACTAACCTCCACAAGCTCCAACAAGCAAAGTATTTTCGCCAATGTGGTTCAAACGCCGATGTTAAGTCGAGATCTATATGTACACAACTAATCCTCACATCAGCACGTCGCGCTTATTTTAGTCTCACTGAAAAACTGAATGTGTCTCCTTTAGACAGTGATAAGGTGGTGTAACTTGGGTTATGGTACTGAATATTGCACAGTAGTTTTAAAGGTCACGCAGACATGATGAGTACACAGCGAGCTAAAACTTGTGGTAGTAATATGGAAATTATAAATGTTAACAAAAATAAAAGTAAACTCACTAGGTCCACTTTCTGCTACGTATATCTTCCTGCCATTTAGGAATCTACCATTAGTTTCAGTGACTGCATCTGCATTCGTATTATTTGAAATTTACATATGGTACCAAACCAAATAAGTGTCATCAGCAACAAGGGGAATGCACGGTTAAGAGCCCGCTAAAATGCTGTTACTTAAGAGGTGATAGAAAGGAACATTTTAAGGGTTTAACAGGAATTGATTAAGAAGGAGTAATCTGAAACCCACAACGGACAGGTAATGCCGAGTATTGCGACACACAATGCGTGGCAGATTAGTTTCAAATGTTAGTAAGCATTCAAGGTTGAGATTACAAAGCTCTGTGAATGCATGTATATAATCTAAATATCTCTGTGATGTGCTTAGTTAGCTAGTAATGCCGACTCACAAAGCAGATCAACTATAAGGATGGTTCCAGCCAAACGCGTATTTCTAGCACATAGTTATGAATGTTAAGAAGGGTGGTTTAGTCAAACATGCAGAAAGTTATTCATCCTCCACTGAATGTGAATAGGAAATACAAGCTAGTCTTTCAGTTTTCTTTTAAGTCTACTGAAAGTTAGTTCACAATTAATGAGAGGATTCAATTAAGTTTATTTGGTTTAGAATACCCAATTTAATCGATTCTGGCTTCCGAAGTACGCGTTACGCGGGACGTTCAAGCTTAACGCTATTAAATTAAAACGAGGTGTTTTACAAGCTTCCTTATTTTCACTCAGTGAGTTCCCTAATTATTATAGTGTAATAAGTATGCGGACAACCATAATTTGTTCTAAAGAAATCTGCCCTATATCCTGATGCACTGATGACTATAAACTATGGCAGCCCAAAACGATCGTCGCTAGAGGTAGTTTCGAAAGTACCTCTAGAGACCAATCAGATTCGCAAAAAGTAGAAGTGTGCAATTCGAAATAGACGCCTATAAACAAGTAATGCAATGTTAAAAATTGGTTACATAGGATGATATTCTTGTATATGTTCGAAGAAAACCTAGTTTCTCACAGAAGTCCTCATAGTTAAGTTAAACCAATTTCTGTTAACAAATCTGCCAAGGCCATCAATTCGTTCATTAGGTAGTTTCGTTTGGGGCTGCTATAGTTATCAGTTATTTTAATGAATAACTTATGTTCTTCCCAATTTTTATAACATGGTTACTGATTGTTGTTTATCTCCATATGTTTCGTAACTGAATACTTTGTAGATTAGTAGTCGCCGGTCTGACCTACTTAACGTTAGTATGTAAAGTGTAGTATTACCAAATGAAAAAGATTATCTCACTTCAGTTGATAATGTGATTTCAATTTTCATCGCTTGTACACGGGGTTTTACTGACTACACAATTCATTTGTTGAGTTGTAGATATTCTGAAATCTTAATATATTAATCATAATTTTGAGGTAAGCAAAAATGTTTCTAGAACCACAATTTCCGGAGTTTTCATAAACTTGCAAAGGGAGATGAGGACATTGGAAATCCTACCACACTAATGCTTTCGTTTTTATTCCGAAATCTAAAATTAGAAGCCATTCACAGATGTATTGCTAACACGCTTTTTCCACTCAGTAGTTTGCTGTCGCTGGATATATGGAGGTTCATTCTAACTGAACTTGGTAAATTAGCTTGAACACTCGACTTTCAATCTATAGATCCCGCTGCGCTTTCTTTGCCTGAGTAACTGGGTACCAACATCAACTCATAATAGTTATATGGCTCACGACCTGGCAAACCTTGCTTTAGTCTTCAAAAATAGTGCTACTTCGTCGATTAACCTGTAGTAAGAAGTTGACATGGTGGGACGTAGTAGTAGTAGTAACATTTTCGAAATTAAAGTTGTGCTTGGATTAAATCTGAAGCTTATTTTGTTTACGCCTTATTCACACCTCATTGTTGAAGATTCTGATTTTCCTTATAATTTCAAACTATAGGAAGATAAAGTGACCAAATATTTGATGGATTTAGACAACCAGTAGTCCGCTTAAATTTGGCCTCTTAATTGCTGTTTTGAGTAATGGATGTTGATGGTGAGTTATTTTCTTGGTAGCTCAATGTAACTTCAGTCACTTTTCCGGAGTCATTGAAAACAGAAATAGAGGAAATCGCTCTAAAATCGGTATGTCAATAAATCTTTATGTTCCAAAATTCTAGGGTATTGATGTACGGGATTATGCCGCCCAAGTGGAGTCGGAGTTGTCGAAGATAGAGGAATCGCTCGTAAAAACATGTAGATATTATTTGATTCAAATATTCAAATACCAATAGATATAACAGTCAGTCCTGAAGTGGCTAGTTTGCATAATCAGATTTCCGCTTGTGATTCTATCCTGGAGGTATGACGATGTTGTGTATATTCCTATAATAATTAAGAGAATTGAGGGTATATTAACGAGTTTTCATGAAGATCTGGGTGCAATCAGTACAGAAATTCAAGATTTACAGAGCAAATCATTGGTAATGAATACTAGGCTGCAAAACAGACAGGTACAATTTTAGTTTTATTTTCGTCTCACTGTACTGTACTTAAACACGTTGGATCATGAATAACTTTGTAGTTAGGACTTGCAACTGTAGTATACAGTATTTCTGGAGTGAGAAATTCAGTCTTTCTGATTCAATAAGGTTGATATAGACTTATAGTTACATTGAAGTGATGGTCTAATTCGCCTTAAAATTGGCTGCAGTAATTATTGGGGATACTGATATTAATCCGAACTAGTTCTTTCAAAATGTGAAAGTCGTGTATGTTGAAGTTTTGTATTTAACTAAGGTGTTAGATATTTGTTGCTCATTGGATATTTAGAAAATGCTTCTGAAATAAGTAATAAGGTTACAATCTCTCCTTGTTTCGTCTCACCATTTGATGCAAACAATTTATATACACATATACTGAGTGATATTTGGGTATCCTGTATGCTGTTGCCTAACTGACAGCTGGTTAAAAAGAATGTTTCTGTAGTTTCTCTCATCCCAAAATGTTGGTTGAATAGCGGTTAGACTAAAAACTGCTGCCACCCTAAGGTAAGCAATGAACATTATTGGGAGTCTGAAGTCAAAGCTGTACTGCTTGCAAATAGGAATGTTGCAGCTGTGACGGATTATTTTCATCAATCCAGTGTGAAGCAGTTGTCTCTCTGGCTCTGTGGCCAATCAAAACAACTGCTTTTTATGTCAGGTACTCCAAGAAGAAATCGCTTTGGATATAACACCTACCCATATTTTTCCATTAGAGCACACAATGCTTTAGTTCATCGCCCGCTTTTTTCTTGCTTACTTCCGAATAGTAGTAGTCTTCATGCAATATCTCAATCTATTGTTAACTTCTTTATTATTTTCAGCTACTTATACTAGAGAAACAGCATCCCTGTTCACAATATCAACTTCGAAATGAACCTTTAAATTCCCAAACTTAAGGTGAAGAAAACACCAAGTTTTACTGAACAAAATTGAAATCTTGGGTTTCGAATGTTTGCTTTACTTATAGGACATATATAACAGATCAAAATGTGCTTATTAACATCGCATTCGCCCATCCAGTGATGAATATACAAGATTCGTCCTTCATGCGTCAGTAGCTTTTTTGGCTAATTCTCATGGTGTGGTGACAGCACATAGCTGAAGAGTAGAAAACTTAGTGCCTGACTGTCCTAGTAAACAGCTATTTGTGTAATATCCGGCTGATCTGTTCCGTAATAATGACAGTGAATGTCGTCTGTTCCTTTTATCAATCTCCGCTTATACACCATTGGTTGTAGTCCAAACGAATTGAAGGATGAGTTTTATCATAAGTTGTCCATTTTGAAGCATAAAGCCAAACACTGAAGTATAACCGTGTTAATAGGTGGTTTGAATGCCAAGGTAGGGAAAGCATTGAGAGAAGCATATTTAGGTATCTGTAGCATTCTAAACCGACGAGTGGGTTAAGGTGATTTTCTTACAGTTTTATTGAGAGAACTATATACTCCTGGACAGCACTAACTCTAAACATAGGGATAAACATATTCAAGTCAAAATCAAGACAACGATCGGCACAAACATGCACTTTTGTAATACGTTATCTATGAACGAGACTGGTAGAAGACTGTTACGCTTCCTAAGATATCTGCATGGGTGATGATCATGTGTTAGCCTGTGCACGTGTATTCATGCGTTGTGGCAAGCCTGCACGTGTTGAATTTTACGACAAAAATGTGACTTCTGTATTTAAGGAAGAATTAACTACACACATTAATTTGTGCAATATTCATTGGGAAGCTTGGCAATATATTCAGTTTTCTGTAGGAATGGTAGTGAAGATAGTGGATAACTCTCCGTAAAAAATTAGGAAATGCCAACACCTTCATGTAACCGTATCCCAACTAAAACTGGTCGGTTCAGAACAGCACATTGAGCGAAAGATGCTCAAATGCAGGTTGATTGAAGATCGTTGCGATTACCTCAAAGGGTTGGATAAAAAACCCCAAGAAACGGGAAAGGTATCAACAATGTATGACCCTGATCAACTATGTAGACTTATTAAATAAACGTGTCAAGAAAAAGCCATGGTAAATGAGTCTTTTAGAACGATGGAAATTTAATAACTTCGGAAAATAAAGCAGAAGCTAGGGACAGACACCGTGTGTAAGCTGAAGTTCTCTGCATCAACAACTGTATTTTGAAGTTCCCAAACTTTTATGTTTCTGAATTTTTTGTACGTGTGCAATGCTTTGTGTAGTTGTAATTCCTTGCTTATCGATCACTGACTTTTGACTTTTTGGCCTTCACAACTGGATATCACCACACCGGGTGTGATCCAGATAGTTGATCAAGTGTTTTATTGTGTTCACATGACAAAAAACCGTGGTTAAGATTTGTAAACTATTATTTTATTTTTATGTAGGCTGTTCGTAGTAATTTGAGTCAGTTTCTTTCTGACATGGCCATACCTGAAGAGCTTATTCGGTAAGCGTCCTTTTCTGTATTTGGGATACAATCCATATTCAATTATTATTTGGTAGGAGTTTCTAAATAACCTCACCTAGTTTCGATCTCAAGCCCGAGTAAAGAGGGAGGACTGCACGTGGGGTTAGTGACCTTACCCCACAAAACCACTCAAAAAATATATTAAAAATACAAGAAATTCTAACAACAAACTTATTCTTCGCTAGAGTTGGAGAGGCGAAATGATGTGGGTTGGGCCAGCCGATATGTCTTCCCTCGATGAAAGCAAGAATAAAAATGTGGACTCGGAATGTGCGTGTAATGCACGAGACTGGGAAGGCTGCCCAGGTATCCAAAGAAATGTGAGGATATGATATAGAAGTGCTGGGAATTTGTGGGAGCAGATGGATTGGATGTAGACTGTCGAAATTGTCAACTGGTGGGTCAGTAATCTACTGTGGTCACTCAGACGACAACCACGAGCATACTGAGGCATTAAGTGGTTGTCATGGTGTCACCAGTGGCAGCCAAAACCCTAATACAGTGGGGACCACTGGAAACGGACACATACACTGTGGCGGATGTGCTGACTCCATTATCGCAAAAGGTTTGGAAAGAAGGAAAGTTGCTTACCGATTGGAAGAAGGGATGGACACCTTGTCAATCTACCAAAGATTGGCAACTTGCGCCTCGCTCTGCAAGAACTGGCGTGGAAAATGCTGTTGTCCACGCCAGGTAAAATGCTAGGTCGCCTCATCCTGGAGAGAATAAAAGATGAACTGGATACAGAACTACGCCCGCCGGAACAAGCTGGGTTCAGCAACGGCAAGTCATGTGCAGGCCAAATTTCGACTCCACGCATCCTCATCATCGGATGGAGTATGGAATGTTAGTCAAACCTCTACTTCAACTTCATCGACTTCGAAAAGGCCTTCACCAGACTGCGTTGACCGAGAAGTAATTTGGAAACTGCTTCAACACTACGGCGTGCAATGCCTAAGTCTTTATCAACCTTATTCAACAGTTGGTTGTATGACAGTGCCACGTGTCAGGTGATCCACAACGGAAAACTCAGTGAGGCGTTTGAAGTGATTGCAGGAGTAAGACAAGACTGGCTGCCAATTGTCACCGATGATATTCTTAATTGTGGTGGACTGGACTGTGTGTCAAACTGTGCATGTGGAGTGAGGAGACTGGAATGCATTGGACTTACCGTTAAGGAGACTCTAGAAGATATGGATTTCGCGCGTGGAAGATTTATTTCTAATGTCACACAAACTGGAAGACTTAGAGGCAGGCGAAAAACAACAAATTGGTAGAAGAGGCAGGTAGCGAAGACAGGACTTCAAATGAGCATGGAGAAGACGGAGGTGATGAAGATAGCCAACCAACAAAAACGATAACCTGCACTGGACACTATCAACGGAGGAAATTTAAAAGTGGTCACTTCCTTCACTTACCTACAAATCATCGTTTCAACTACAGGCGAAACGGATGAAGATGTTAAAATCAGAATCGGAATACCAAAGGACACCTTCATCACTCTGTAGTCAATTTGGAAATGTTCTACACTCAGCACAAAGAAGAAGATCCGGGGTTTCAACAAAGATGTTAAGTCAGTCAGTTCTTGTATGTGGATCAGGGACTTGGCATTGTCGACACGAAAAGCATTTCCGGCTGGTTGCAGACCTTTATCAGCACCTACCTTTGCTGGCTTCTTATAGAAGATCAAACGGCCGGCCAGAAAGAATTAGCAACAAGGAACTGTAGGAACAAACCAACCAAGAACCTGTTGTTCAAAAATATGTAGAAGAGAATGGATTTGGATAGGTACAGGCTGAGGTGACTGTCGAATGACATTACGCGCCAGGCCATAGCTCGAATGGAACCTGAATGGGAAAGATGGTGTTGGGCGTTGTTTCGAGAGTTACATGCAGGAGAGCGTGTGAGGAGGAGATGAGAGACTATGGGCATTCGTGGGACCAGCTAAAGAGGATCGCAGAGAATATTTTTTATTAACATAGAGTTCTTGGATAGTTCGGATCATATGTTAAGGCTAACAGTGATATAATTCTTATGCATATCAAGTGATTAGGGCCATTGTTAATTAGAGTTAATAGAAGAATTCAATTAAATTTCTTGAGTTTTATGCTCTTTCTATTTTTGTTAATTTTATTTGTAATGTTTTGCGTTTAATACGCACAGTGTTTCTTGTAGAGTTTTGTTTCAATAGTTTTTATCACATTACTTTGTTTATTCTAACTATTTTAGTCATATTCTGCTCACTCCTGTCACAGAACAAGAATTTCTTGAAAATCTTCATGAATTAAATCACAAAATGAATTTCGCCGTAGAACAATCCACTGTAGATTATAAGTCATTCAGTGATGTTAGTGTTCTTTTAAAAAAGCTAAAAATTAAGGTAAGCGAATAATTTATTTTCTTTAAATTTTATAAGCAAGTTGAATCGGAACATAAGGCATCACTGAACTGGGGTGCTATATTGGTTTTCACGTAATGACGTCAATGTAAATTCGCCTACTGAATAATAATGTTAGTAGTTCTAAAAGAAACGACAAAAATATTTTTCAAAGATTATTTATAACTTCCTTATGATATGTAGTTTTTAAACTTCGTCAGCTTTCTGGATTACTTTTTACTTTCACAATATATTTTTAATTTACTAACACTAATCTGTTTTCTCATGTTTCACTGTCATACTGCAGCGATAAATATTTATTTGTATTATTGTAGGCTGTGACGAAAATTCGAGAGTTTTTGTTAGGAAAAATATATGCCTTACGAAAACCACTTACAAATTACCAAGTCCCTCAAAATCAGATGTTAAAATTTCGGTAAGTGTATATGTTTGGATGTATTTCTACTACTGTCTCACTCACTTGGTTATGAATTTTATTGTTGCTTAGTAGAATTCTAATTGGCACTGTCAGGCATGTTGTTTTGGTTTTGTTTAAAAATTCGTTGGAATCATTGCTCATGCTCATGCACCGTAGTTCATTGTATTCTACTGCTCTGTCTCAAAGCGTTGATGCTATTTGGTCGAGATAATATAAGTTTATGGATGTAGGCACCAAAAACATTGTTTCATGCACTCCATGTGCAAGAGAGGCGATTTACGTCAGTGTTTTTTAATGAAAAAATTAAAGAGACTGATTTTTATGGTCATTATTCTTTTTCAAATTCGTGTTTACTGTATGCACTATATTAATATAGGAACTGTAAGACAGGGGGTTTAATGACAATTATTGTTTAAAGAAGACATTGGTGTCAAGTCTGAATATACATAAAATTAATGGATATTGCCTGAAACTCCACGTAGTAATTTCGTTTACAACTCTGGGAGATGTAATTTTACTATATTCACCTAATACAGTCAGTTGAGATAATCGATTTATAGGTAAGAGCTAAGCAATATGTATTAACTTTCGTTTCATTACATATTCTTAAGTTTCTACTGATATTGAGTAGTTTGACTTGTATATAAACCTCATTCCTACTGTAGTATCCAAAACAATTGTCCTTCCAGATGTTATTAGTGTGCTGTTACTTTATATTTGATCAGAATACAAGCAATCGTTGCATTTTAATAATTGTCCTTATCATGGAAACTAAGTAAACTGTATGTCGTGTCGTTTGGGTGTGTCTTAGACTAGGGATATAGGAATTATGAAATCTAACTTCACTTTTCATTTTCTTAAACAAAGTCTCATCTCGGATAAAAAAGGCTCTTTTGACATTTGCTAATTTACGTCACCCCAGGCGATGTCTCATTATCGATTAAAGGATGTGTGCAACAGTTTGCTTCGTCCTTCTTTACGTCTATTAGACACTGACATTAAAAGTAAAAGATTCGAAGTAGCTGGTTGTCTTTGACCTTATATCTTTGCATTTTGTTTTCCGTGTTAAGTAGTATAAAATAAGTAATATTTAGGTTAGGCGTGGAGTTTTAGGTAAGGAGGGAAAGTGAATCGCTGAAGTTGTGAAGATTGAGATGGCTGGGATACGTGTTGCGTATGCTGAGTCATGAGCTACCTCGTTAAGCTATGATAGCTAACATAGGGTTAGGTTGCAAAAGAAATAGGGTGATCAAATCAAAATATAGTATCAATCCATGAAGTTTTGAATGAAGAAGACTGTTGTCAAGGAACTTAACCCTATGTTCCTATTCTAACGAAGACGCTTTGAACCGATAATGACTATATATTTTCTCGACTTTAACTCCAAAACACCAGTATTCTCTGAACGAAGTTATATTGTTTGGCAATTAAAGCAAAGATTAATACAATTCTATAAACAAATGTTTTGTACAGAATTAGAAGGTACTTTTATTCGTATTCTCTCGTCTTTGAACTTGCACACGATCGAGCCATTCGCGCCTTCGAGTTGCCCGCCAATGGTGACGAAGGTCAATGAACCAACGTTCAATGTTCATATTCCTTGACAACTGTAAACTGCCTGTTTTCGGTCTCCGAAAGTCTGTCTCTTTTCAACAGGAAACCTTGCACCCATGTGCAGCAGTTCGAGTCACCACACTTCACTCAGCACACAAAGCAAGAGAAGAAAGTAAAAGGAAATGCAAAATAAAGATAGTAGACAGGGATATGAGACAAAAGGAATAGTAATAACGAAGAGCAATATAGTTTCATTTGAAATCATAAGTCACAAGGAGTGGATGCATCTGCACCAGCCATTGAGAACGAATTTAAGCCATATCATTGCTATTGGTTTTCACCGTCCCGGGAACCACAACCAGGAAGTTTACACCTTCCTACGTGGCTTAAACTAACTGTTGTGGATTTCATTGACTGGCGCCATGTTTTGGTTTGACCACCACTGGCTCTTTTCCAGCCTGACCCTTTGTCAGCTAACATTGCCCGTCGAGGAAGGCGATGGCTAGGCATGCGTAACACATGTCCTAACCATCTCACGTAGATGTAACTTCACAGCCTCGTCGATTGATTTCCCCTCCTTGCCTAGCACTCGACCGATGCATCACCTCAATACTACTCACCCTATTATGCTACTTCACACGGGAGATAGAACGCAGGCATCTATGATCAAAGACAGCTAGCCTTTTCATGTCTTCCACTCTCAATGGCCAGGTCTCACAGCCATAGAGGAGGACGGAGCCGACTGCTGAGCAGTACACCCACCCTTCGGTCGATAGCCGAATATCACGTCTACACCAGGGATGGCGTAAGTTGGCATATGCGAAACGAGCCTTCTGTATCCGTGTTAAGATTTCGTCAGTGATCAACCCGTTGGGGCTGATACAACTTTCCAAACAAGTGAAGCGGCGAACGTGCTCTACCACTTCACTCCCTGTTTCTAAGCTAGGAGTCAGTGTAGACCAGTCCTGCAGCATCATCTTACATTTGGCGGGAGCGAATCGCATGCCACACATTCGTAGATTACGGCTCAAGGTGTTCAGAAGACTGCATTTTGTCAGCGTCCTTGCCAAGAAGGACTATATCATCTGCATATTCTAAGTCAACGAGAACATACCCTGGTAAAAAGTCAGTCCCTGAGTCTCTGAAGTGAGTTAGGGTTAAATCCATTAGTACATCTATGACGAAATTGAATAGAAATGGGGATAATGGGCATCCCTGACGGACACCACTGGTTTCACCACTTCAGGCAGCAACTCACCGTAAGCTCTCACAGGGCTGACTGCATGAGTTCGAGTATAGTTCCTTGATCAGTGCAATGTATTTTCTCGGCATTCCCTTCACGGCTAAGCATCGCCATAGTACCTATCGGTCGACAGAATCGAATGCTACCTTTAGGTCAAAAAATTTGACGATTGTTGGACGCCGGTAAGTATGCCTATGTTCCACAATCTGTCGAAGGGTGAAGATATGGTCAATACACCCTCTTCCTGGTCTAAAGCCTGTCTCTCGTGTTTGTTCCTCCCGCGGACCGCTTAGTTTGCGCCTTGTTATTGAGCCTAGAACTTTAGGTACCATATTAGTCAAGCTAATCCCCCTGTGATTATCACAAAAAGACTTGTCTCCCTTCTTATATATGGGGATGACTAATAACTTACACCAATCTGACGGGACTTCCTCTGATTCCCAGACGCTGCTTAGTACCTTAGTTAACGCAGACAGCAAACTGTCTCCAGCGTACTTAAATACCTCTGGAATCACTCCATCGGGACCTGATGCTTTGCCTCATTTCAGACTAGTGACAGCCTTAGTGACCTCAGTTAGTGACGGAGGACCTGTGTCTATATCCCGTTCTGGGAGGTGTTGAATATTCGGTAAGTTGAGTGTGACTGTAGGCCAATTCAACTGCTCCTCAAAGTGTTCTTTCCAGCGTTCCAGTTGTCTATCCTGGGAGCTAATTAGGGTGCCATTTTCCTCAGAGATTGTTTCACTTATCGTTGTCTTTTATCACCTGTTTCCCTCCGAGATGCCAGTATTCAGTGTCTGGAGATTATAAGTGAAATTGCTTAAATCGTCCTGAGTGACGCAGATGCATGATGTCCTATATCTATTACAAATTAATTATTCTTCCTGTAATTTTTCTTTCTCTTATACGTTCAGTCTCCGCATTATTTTTTTCTTTGCCTTCATGAATTGTGGCATTTTAACTTGTCGCGCTTTTGTTCAAAAGTTCTACGTTGAATGTTCAGTCTCATCCACCCAATAATCTTGTTATCTGTTGTTATTATTCCTAGATGTATTTTTCAAGCATTTGTTTTATTTCCTCTCCTTTGGGATTTAGATTTTATAATTCATTCCTTATGGCTCATGATCGAGAAGTAGCAAAGGAGGTTAAGGTGGAATACATTAATACAATGAGTAAAGTTTACTACTCCTATTTTAAAGCTTATGGTGGCAAATTAACAAGATTACAAGTAAGTTTTTATTTTTATCATTTATTTGTTTCTCCCAATTCATGTTTTAACACTTACCAGTAAAAGAATTTTTTTGTAATTGAAGATTCAACTTTGACTGATTAGTTCTTAACTGGATTAAATCATAAGCAGAAACATAAATACATTTCTCTCAGGCTAATTTATTGTCTGATGTTAAGCAGTTAAGTCTTCTAAATGTCTGGAATACTACACTTTTATATTGGACACTTGTTTTTCATCTTTTCCAGTTGGTTCGTGGTTGCTTGTATTAACTGATATCTGCATGTGTTTTTATGTAATATCCTTCAGTCTAAACATGTAAAACTGCTGAAAATTTAGAAGACACATGTAACATCTTACTAAGTGGCATTATTCATCGATTATTGTTATTATTATTATTATTATTATTATTATTATTATTATTATCATCGAAAGATGGTAATTAAAGTCGAAGGAAGATTAGAGAAAGCTGATGTGTTCTGATGATGCTGCGTTCTTTAACCTGTGTTGCTTACTCGCGAAGCCTTCCTTATCATTCTAGACTTCACAAAGAATGATTTGGTTCGGTATTGTCATGTCGCTACCCAGATTTTCTTTTGTGCTGCAATCACTATCGCTTTTTAGGCGAATGTATTCAGTACTGTATTTTTTGCATTTAATTGTTTATATGCTGTAAAGTGTACTTCATTTCGTGATATTCACAGCTTGATACGACCTATGAGAAAGATGATTTATTAGGAAAAAATCCAGATAAATATAATTCAACATCAACTGCGTCTAGTTTAATGTTCAATTCAATTTCTAATGTTGCTAATAATACTGCTATTTCAACGTCAACAAATTCAGGGACGCGTGTTGGACTTTTTGGATTAGGTGACCGTGCACTACGTGTATTGAGTAATTCAAATTTAGAAAGTGCAATAATTTTACCACATGTAGCCAGTAATGCTGAAGCTAAAGTAAGTGGATTAACTTAATTGTACTGTTTTGCTACTATTCTTGTGAAGATGGGGTCCATTGGCTGAAACAGTAAACTAAACGGTGGGCTCTATGAATGTGTCCTGTTCCAAGTTCCTCGATAGTATCATTAAGCCTCACAAAAGCTTGACATATAACGTGGTGTTTGGCAAATCTGTTATGGGTAAAATTTATAAGTATTTGACTCACCTACTTTTGTTATTCTGAGTGTTTTCGCTTCTCAGATGTAGACACTAGAATTAGGTAGAGTGAAAAGTGACTGACTGACTGAGTTCCAACGTAGAACTATGCACAAAATTTGCAACAGTTCAAGCTGCTACACTCCATAGAACCCAAAAGGGTAGAGAAGAATTCAAAAAAATGTACAGGGAAAGAATAATTACATGTAGAGGAAAAATTGAGACCTGATGGATATCAGGGATTACAAAGAGTGAATGAGCCTCCACCATTGAGAACGATTTTGAATCATATAACCAACAGTCTTAAGCCACTGGTTCTTAGAGTCTCGATGATCCTTGTGTATATACCCCAGTACTATATAGTTTTATTTGTTACTTGAACAGCTTTATGATAATTCATGAATTTGTTACAGGTTTGGATCTCGGAGAGACCATTTACTAAATTGATTATTTTTACTTGATTGACATATCGTGGTTCTAATAAAAAAACCCGTAGTGGATGTTTACGTCGAACACAAATGGCAGACTTTATATTCATTCCCCCTGGGTTTCAGGTTCGTCCTGTTGATCATTGCAAACAAGCACAAGCCTCTATCAAATGTGGATTTCGTGTCATTTAGTACTGTATAAAAATTTTCTGTGTTTAAATATTTTCGTGTTCCAAATGGTTGATTGATTACTCTTTAATAAAAAGCTTTTCATTTTCCCCACTTTATGTTGTTTTTATTTTGTAGTATCCTATAGAGGTTTTATTCCGTTCTATTCATTATGCTCTTCTGGACACTGTATGTCGAGAGTACTATTTCCTGTCAGATTTCTTCCTTCTCAGTGCAGAATCTGATCTATCTGATCAGACTACACCAAGCGAAAATCGGAAACAAAATGGTGTCGCCTTGGCTAATTTATTTGACCAAGTTATGTCTCGTAGTTTAAATTGGATACAAAAATATACTGAGACTTTTGTAATTTCTTCATGTTCTCATGATGCAATCGGTTTACTGATCTGCCTTCAGTTATTGCATGCTATGTTGCGTTTAGCCAAAGAAAGGGGTGTACCCGTATTGGATAAGTGAGTTCCAGTTATATCTTCAGTTTTGCTTTCGTATACCCTTGTTTATATCGGTTGGCTAGTAGTATATGTGAACGACAGAACTTCAATTATTTTTAGTTTTTCAGATGATGCAGGCTTTCCTTATTTGTTTTAGTGATTCACTACTAATCTAGGGAGGCGAATTGATTCAACCTAATTGTCGTTGAATAACCATGTAATATTATGTTGGGTGCTGCTTTTGATAATAGATATACCTGGTTCTAAGCGTTACATCTGAAAAAGCCACGATAATTGTATGATTTTAGTTTGTTCGGATAAATGTTGCATCTGTCCTCATCAATTTTATCCTCCACAATATGAGACCATGGAGATTAAGTGCAGTAACCTATTTTGTGTAATCTGCTTGTGTTATCAACACACCATATCGTGCTAGGATATACTAGTCTACCCAAGTGAATAACATGGCACTTATACTTGATGCAAACTTTTTGTGGTTACTGTGTTTCAAAATCTTTCGTAATATGGTAGATTTATTTATTTCCTACCATAAACTAAATTCTGGATATCTTGCGAGTTTGTTTGCATCCAGTTTATGTCTGCTTCCTTTTCTTCTACTAGTTAACTTTCATGTCTGTAGTTTATTCGATTTTGGCCTCATGCGCTAACAGCAAAGTGTAGCTATATGAAGTAAACGGTATGGATAGATATTGCAGTACTAGTTGAAAACTTGAATATAGCGATCGGGAATTTGGCGTGATATTAAAGTCGTTGAGGTGGTTAATGAAACAACACAGTCGTAACTGATCTAATGCGCAATGATAACAAACTAATTTTGTCCAGAACCAAATGTCGGCATAGATGTTGATGGTCTGAATGCATAATGAACTTCCGCTGCTTCTAAAGTATTTGTTTTAGACTGTAAGAATTACGTAAATAGTTGTGTAAATGTTGATGGAGAGGTGACTGGTGAAATTTTCACTCGTATGTAAGGGGTCTAAACAACGTTAACTGAAGTGGGTCACACATAAACCGCCACAATGTTTGTCTGGTCATCAACAGTAAGTTTTCCAGAGTGTAGAGTTTTGTCCTACGAGTGCAAAACCTGGTATCTGCGAGATGATATGCGGTGACTCTGCACTTTTGACCACCTGTCTTGTTAGGATCGTTTGCATCCGATTTCGATCATGTTGCAGTGCATTTGATTCTTGTAGTTTACTATGTAATATGAAGTAATGAGCTTCCCCTGGAATATACTTGTTAAGTGTGTTAACCTTTTTGGTCCTGTTAGATTCTTTTCGCTTGGGATATGCCTAGATGCTCATATTATACCAATTTTGTGTTTAAGGAAGACATGTTCTTCATCTGTGTTAGGTCTTTGAAGGATCATGACTACAAATGAAAGTTGTACTAGTTAGGTAATTTCTGTATGTTTTAAAATCCGATTTCAAAGTATAGAGGCCACCAACACTTATTTGATCTTTCATATCACAAGACTGCTACCTTATTAGTGTGTGTGTTGAAAGCTCGCCTTTTAAAATTTTCTTTTTTGGTATAAATAAATTATATGTAATACTAGTTCACCAACCGACATTTATATCTTTTGTTTGTAAAAGTTGGAATGTTTATGCATGAGTGCGTATGTGGTAGTCTGTTATTCAATAAAAAATTCAGAAAACTAGTAGATAAATCTCTCAACAGTTTACCTTCTGAAATATATGAAGCATGATTTATTGTTTCTGCGATATTTTACTATTCTGCTGCTGTCGGTTGTAATGTATTGATAAAACACTGACATGTTTTTCACGATAATAAACAGTTAACCATAATACACATAATATCAAATATCTTACTTAAATCGTTGCTCAATATTTAGTTTATTAAAACGCGTGCTCTAAATTACTATGAGAACAAGTTATTAAGTATATTCTGTCATCGTAAGATTAATTTGAAGAAGACGGTTAAACATCAACAGCCTAAAAATGTACCGTTTTATAATAGGTAAGGTAATTGTTTACATTTATCTCTTATTTCTTAATTCATTAATGCTCTATTATCATAACTTCTGTCTGTATAATGTAAATACAACCTCATTTTGCTTCATTAAAAGTTGTTAGCTTTTTCAAGCTTTAATTCTCTAAACTGTGTTTACGAAAACTTTGCATAGCGTAACGTTATCAAATGACAAGTGATCTATGTGATGCTAGTACTTGCTTCAAAGCTAGCAATGGTTGTTTGTTATGATAGGGATTAAAATATCTTACTGTGGTTTTTTATCGTTTATCCAACTTTAAAGGTTTAATTTTATTCATTTTTCATTCAATAGCTTTTGGAGTAAAATGACGGAAACATTATGGGTGCGTGTTACTGACAGACTTGATGTGCATATATCTTCAATGTTACAGTATTTGGATGTTAATAGTTTTAGTACAGATGCACGTGATATGGTAAAAGCCAATGTGTCTACTCCGGCGAATCCTAATACAACTGGGGGCAGTGCTGCTGGTTTGCATCCGAAAATGTATGCTCTTATTCGTCCCCATTGGATAGCTAGACGTTATGCTGAATTGGCAGCTAGTCTTCATTCCATTGGACATGGGTTCCCCGGTAGTGAGTATATTTTTTAAGATAATACTGTTTATTTTTGGAAGAAATAATCGTATAATTCTTCATAGGTATTCTGTGTACTTTCACATTAAACAATCTTGTTCAGTCAGTACAGCTATTATAAATCCTATGTTTTTTGGGTTTCGAGATGATATTCCGTAGCAAAATACTGCTACCTGTGAAATATTTTACTCACTAGTTGAGGTAGTCAGTTTTAAGCTATTGGGTTAAGAGTTCAAATCTTTCTATACCTTACAGGTGTCCCTGTAACCACGTTGTATGTTTAGTCCTCTTATATTAATTCTGCTTCATTCCTCAGTGCATTTACATGTATATGGTTTATTATTCACACCACTCCAAAATGGTTGAGGCGTTTCCAATCGGCTTTCAGCCTATAGGTCCTGAGTTCAAATCTCACTCCACCTACTTCATTCTGGAAAACTGAAAACTTATCATCAGCCCTTGCATAGTAAGTGTGGCCTACATATGCATATGTGTCCTGATATATTAGACCTCTGTTATCAGTAAATAAATTCCATTGACAACTACTAACATGAAAAACGCTACTTCTTTACGACGTGTATTTAGTTCAGAAATAAAAGTTTTGGCATTTAATTTCTCTCACTAGTTGTGGGAGTAAATATCAACCATATCAGCTATATATTGGGATTATTATTATTATTATTATTATTCGTTAATTGGCTTGTGAGTTGAACACCGAGTTTCAGTACAGTGCATGCATATGATATCGTTCCCTGCTATCATTTTCATCTGGCTCCACAAATGCCTACAATCTTTCGTTTCTTCGTTTCGTGATTTTCTCCACATCTCTTGGGCACCCAAACTGTCATTTCCCACTCAGATTCCATTCGAGAGCCTGGAATGTGATATCACTTGAATGTCTCCTCAGTGTATTTCCAATCCATCCACATCCATTTCCCTCTACGTATTTGCTAGGCAAACAAGTTGTTGATTGGTTCTTGGCCACCAGGATTACTTGTTACTTAACATCTCAAGTCTGTTATGTGATCTTCAGTATCAAGCCAACACAGGGGGCTAGTGCTGATAAAAGTTTTCAGCCTGTTAGAAGGGCTTTTTTTTGACGCGTGCATGAAGTCTCTGAACTGTTTTGGAGCACTGACTCGACATTAGTGTTAAAAGAATCTTGCAAGTTAAGTTTCAATGCTCACTTAAGACATTCTATCTATTTGGTTTCTAATTAATATTTCTTGGCGCCATCTTTCTTCTCCTTTGTGGAAACCACATTGCTGGTATTTTGTTATAAGCATTGCTAAATGTTTTTATATGCTGTTCATTTTCTTTCTATGCTGTTACTTCTCACATGATTAGTCGTTTTCCGGTTGTAGTTGATGGTTGCTTAATCTTGCTTTTTAAATTTAACTGGCAGTTCGAATTAAGTCGATAGGAAAGGTGAAAGCTATGAATTTCTTTCTGCTAACTTCATCTTGCCGTAATTTAAGCGTTTAATCTTCTGTGAGAGGTATTAACAATGTTTCAGCTTGTATTTACCACTTTGCAGTTTTGTTATAGTTCCTGTAAGGAAAAAGAAACTTCTCCGTGGACTTGACAGTCATGTATAAAGCTAACTAGTGTTGCATAAATTTTGACTTACTAGGTGAATTCAGGCATACTTGTTGCTTACCTAACATACGGATTTCAACATTCAAAGCATTGTATATTCTGAATACTTGGGTATATTACCTGTGAATGTTTGAATAATTGTGTTTCATGTAGTTGTAGTACTATTCTCATGTTATTTCGATTATCTGTTTCTTTCTTTCAATTTTTCTCGTTTAGCTCCACTTTTTGATGACTCTTTCAGTAAATCGAAAAGTTCAGACAATTCTAAGTTACAATACTCTTTACACTCTGTTTCATCATCATTATCATCATCACAAAATCACTCAAATCATTCCAGTGTAAAGCCTGGTCTTGATCCTCGTATTCTTAGTCGTTTGGCTCAGTTACAAACTCAGTTTGAACATGTATTAAATTCTTTGGCTAAGACATTCTCTCGGCCGAAATTGGCACACATCTTTTTGATCAATAATTATGACTTAGTCATAAGTGTACTAACTGTAAGTAAAGCTGTAGTATACCTGATAATTAGCTGTATTATTTATTTCTTTTAAATTTATTATTATTATTGTGACCAATCGAATGGATTATTTAATCTTCAAACAATGCGTCCTAAACAGTCAATGCTACCATAGTCTTTCTTGTCACTTGATACTAGATTGATGTTGAAACCCCTACCAGTAAATCTAAAGCTCACAGAATGATAAAACTGGTATGGTATATCACTAATTTTTTTATATAGCTTAATATATTGGAAAACTCCGCTAGGCGACTGAATTGTAGTATTTATTTATTTATTTTTTAACTCATAGGTTTGGCGGAATAACAAAAGGTTTATGTAAAGTAGCGAAGTCTCTATTTCCATCGAGTAGGTATATTTCTCACCGTCCTCGAAAAATTACAAAACTTAGAGTAATAGTAGTGGTAGTGCATGTGTGTTGATATTCATCTATGAAGCGTTCAGTAGATGAAAACTTTCCTTATATACTATTACCAGACTGCTGAAGACTAGTCGCTTTTAAAATTTTACAGATACATCTATGGTGATTTTGGTTTCCTTTAGTGTGTGTGTGTGTGTGCGTGTGTGTGCATATGTATGAATTCATCTGTATTATTTGTAAATAGCAAATACATTCTCAACACTATCATAAATTACTGCTTATTTTCGCAGGTTAAGTACAGCAATAAAAAAGTCATTTTTTGGACAGTCTACTAACAGACTTTTTGAGTTTAGATACTTCGTAACTTTTAGAAAATAACTCCATTATGGATAAGATTTTATTTTGATAAATCACACAGTGTTGTACAGTAATATTAACTGATGACGTTTCGAGCATAAACTATTGCTCATAATCATATCAACTTGATATGGAGTTATGCTCTACCACAGTGCCCAAGTTTTATACTTATATTTTAGAAAATATATTGATTCATTTTACAGGAACACGGAGCTGGTGATTCTCTAGAAGTTGTTCGATGCCAAGAGTCTGTAGGAAAGTATACAACAGCATATATTGATGAGGCTTTATCACCATATTTCGGATGTCTAATATCTTTCGTTCGTGATGTAGAGATTAGATTAGCCAGTGGAAAGCATTTGCCAACAGATCAAACTGAAGCATCACATACTATTCGTAGTGAGGAAGGTATGTTTTCCAATTGTCGTTATTATTTGAGTTTACTCTTTTAGTGTCACGCTGTGTATTCGTTGATCACCAGCGTATTTTGGCTTGATTACTGTCAATTAGGTGTTTGTTTAAATAAATTATTTAAATGTTCTAGAACTAATGATGCAACTTAAGGTCAGACACTTTAAACTTCTGCTGAATATCAGGTAGCAGATACCTATCGGTCTTAATATGTCCTAAAAGCCAAGTTAATAAATAATACTAATTAGCACTGTGTAATCAGAGGTTTCCTATGTACTTCTGTTTTATTTTAATCTGTCTCAATCCAATACATACATACATACATACATACATACATACATACATACATACATACACACATACATACATACATACATACATACATACATACATACATACATACATACATACATACATACATACATACATACATACATACATACATACATACATACATACATACATACATACATACATACATACATACATACATACATACATACATACATACATACATACATACATACATACATACATACATACATACATACATACATACATACATACATACATACATACATACATACATACATACATACATACATACATACATACATACATACATACATACATACATACATACATACATACATACATACATGCATACATACATGCATACATACATGCATACATACATACATACATACATACATACATACATACATACATGCATACATACATGCATACATACATACATACATACATACATACATGCATACATACATACATACATGCATACATACATACATACATGCATGCATACATACATGCATACATACATACATACATACATACATGCATACATACATACATACATACATACATACATACATACATACATACATACATACATACATACATACATAATCTGTGATCGTATTTAGGCACTTTTATGTTTGGTTGAGCTAAGCTATAAGATTATCTTTCATAATGATTGTAACCATGTCATGTGATATTCCATAGGTTTGTTTATGTGTTTCTCTTCTAACACATTCCAGCCCGTGTGACACGAATTGTAAAAGGATTTAATATCGATTGGAAGAATTCAATTGAGAAAATACACGATGAAGTTATGATGGAATTCGCTAATTTCACTCTAGGCACACAGATATTTCAAGTTAGTTTGTTATCTGTTATGATACCGTAATCTTTAACTGCCTGTATTCGGCGTGTTGCGTGTCTATGATTCAAGTACATTTGGGGTGATATTGCCCAATTTTATATAACTGAACAGCCATGGACTTAGTTACCTTTCATATTTTTTGTTTATCGTGTCTAGTGTGTATTTGAATGTTTCTAAATAGACAATGAAAGTAGTACATAGAACAGTTGAAACATGCAATCATAAATTAGAAGTTACTAACATTTCGTACAAGTGATTATCAAATAGAAGATTAAAACACTAATAAGTAGCACTTGTATATACTTGTGCTACACACATTGTTCGAATAACACGAGTAGCCGCGATTCCCTGGAGTACTCGACCGACGAAGTTAAGCTATAAGGTTCCAGGGATGCGAACGCTCCAATGACCTTGAACGCATGCTAGTCGTTGGTGAACGACAGCTGTCATTATTATAACGCAAATATGAACTTTATTCACCGGCTGAGGAGCAAATTTCACCCACATCATGTTTTTAAGTACTGTTTGGACAATGTGTTGTTAGCTCGTCAGGGTAATAGTTTGGGTTAGGGTTAGGATTAAGGTCAAGGTTAAGAATAAGGATAGGTTTGGAGTTGGAATTATTTAAATTAATTTGTTTAATATCCACATTTTCCTAGTAAGTAGTCATCTGTCCTCTTACTGAAAACCAAAGTAATTCAAACGATGGCTTTTGGGGAAAACTGCGAAACAGGATAAGGGCGATTAACTGGTCACAAAAAAGTTTACCTTAAATCACCTCGGTGAATACATATACAGAAACTGGTCTAACCTAAAAAGTGATGCGCCTCATTATAACTGGGACGTATTTTTTAAGTCATGCTAGAGAATAATACCCTGTTTAATGTGTTTTCGTGCATTTTCTTGTAAATAGCTGTCTTTTTTGTGCAAAAATTACTTATTTTAATGTTTGGTCGGCTCAGGATCACTCGTGCGTTCGTATCCCTTGGAAACCTATAGTTTAACTTTGTCAGTTGACCATGTTACTTTATAATGTAGCCACTAATACCTGTCTTCATCAAGCTTTTTTCTGCTTCCGAGTGGGACATAGGGCTTCAAGTTCTACCAGGATGATGAACAAACGTAAGATATAACACCTCCATGCGCTTACTTGACATGAATCTGAACTTATAATGTGATGTAGTAGAAACTTGGCTTTACTGGTCTCTTACGTATTATATTCTTTTGAGTACGTTAGTTTGATATAGTGTAGGTTGGTGAATTTTAGTTGGAAATTGTTGGTAGACGTAGTCAATTTCGTTGTTATAAGAATAAAACTTGTGCACTGTGGGAGAGTGTAATTCCATTATGAGTAAATTTTGTTTTGATAAAGTCTCACAGTGTTGTTATACAGTAATGTTTACTGATGAAATTTACCCATAATGGAAGTAGTCGATTTCGCTATAACTTATTTCATAGTGCATTGTCGAATCCAAGGAGGTAATCTTTTAGGCTATATAATTTTAAAACATTCACTTAACAATGTTGTTAGTCATGATTTGATATTTCAGAACTCTCTTGGTGCCCAAAGGTTGCTGAATTCAAACTACTTACTAATCAGAGGTGAACTCTTAGTTTTTCCTCGCGTATGAGTATCTCCTTTTGTTATAAACACTCTGATAGCTACCTAGCAACATGTTATAGTATTCACAATCCATTTAGGATGTAAAAAGTAAAGACCTTGTTGCTGACTGATCTTTAACTGTTGCTTTGTTTTCTTGAGTTTAGTGAACTGTATATTAGTTAGTTCCAATACGACTGCAACTTAGGTTTCTTTTGAACATTGTTTATTTTGTCGTTAATACCGACATTAGTGGTCTAGTGGATAACGCCTTGGTGATTGAAACGAGGTGAGGTTGAATTTTAAGGAATATTTCACAAATTAATTTTTTTTAAATATTGTGGAATTTACATGTTGTATTATTCATAAACTGACTGACTGATGAGTACTGTCAACAGGACTGATAAACTCTATGTATGGCAGGATGTCTTAAACTTAATTTCATGAAACCCAAAATGTAGTCAAAACTATATCCAAATGAATTTCACGAAACCTTTTTGATACCGACAAATTGTTTTCTGGTTAAAAACTCACATTTTAATAAATATTATTATGATGCAGTCGCAAATTCGTATTTCATTAATATCCAATATATATATATATATATATATATATATATCATAATATACTATATATAATATGATATAATATACGTATATATATTTATATAATAAAACATAAAATGATGTATAATATATGATATAATATACAATATAATATTATATATATATAATATTTAATATATATATCCCGACCGAAAGCTGCTACCTTGACGTGGTGGTCAGACTTGCATATCGCAATGACCCAACAAGCTACACTGGCTGGAACCAATGTTCCTGCAGGTCCTACCTTACCAGGAAGGTTGTTAGAATAGCGATTAAACTAAAAATAGTCACCAGCATAGTGTAAGAATCTCAAGCAGTTGTCCCCTGGGCTGTGCTTTCACGCAACACTAACCCTCTTTCTGTTTCAGCTATACGAAGAATCAACCAACTTCCACGGTGTGGGTAGCCGGGAAGTAACAACCGCCCACACACTTCCAAGAGCCCACGAAACCTTCCTGAGCATCATTCTCCTTTACCCACATCACCCTCATCATTTCACTCCCGTACTACAGTTAGTACTATTTTCAGGCTAGTAAGGCATCTTCACTTCACGCTGTGACCACAAACAACGATGAGAGCCATAGAAACACCCCCGACAGCCTCTTAAAGTCACGTCACCAACTTCATACTGGGGCATTTAACGTCAGCACCCCCTCCGCCAAATCGGACAGCAGGCATCACTAGCAAGAACTCTGGCATCTCGAGCCATGGGTGTATGCTGCGTTTCGGGGACACGCTTACAACACCCGAGTGTGGTCATTCACTAAGCCTCAACCGGTCAACAAGGTGAATCTGTGAAATTAACCTCAGGGGGTCAGAAGACCCCTCAGCTAGCTCGCGAGGACTCACAGGTGTAGGGATAGCACTGAGTGTTAGGGCGGAAAAATCACTTCTTGACTGGATCCCAGTAGACAGTTGTGTGTGTGCGGCTCGTCTAAATGGGTCCGTTAGAAGAAGGAAGGACGGTGTCACCCGTCGTTGTCTTTTCGTAGTCTCCGCTAACGCCCCAACAGACTGCAGTTCGGATGAACTAAAGGATAACTTCTACCTGAAACTGTCTAATTTGCTGAAAAATGTTCAGATATAGTTGTTTTAGCAGGCAACTTCAATGTCCCAGTAGGGAAGTTGTGCCAGACTGAGAAGTAAGAAGGTGGTACGCATGGAGTTCCCTGCCGACAAACCGACAACGGTGATCGTCTTCTACAGTTTTGCTCACATAATCATCTATTCCTAGTCAGAACTAACTTTAGGCACAAAGAGAGACACTGCGTAACCTGGCGACCTCCACCACCAAATTAACGCTGGATTCAGATAGACCACATAGCCATAGGGTATCGTTGGCGAGGGGCAGTAGTAGACTGCCGCTCCTTCTAGACTCCAATCATGATCTGCTTCACGCACGTTTATGCTTACGACTAAATGGACATAAGAAATTGATGGCAGCGAAACAGTTACGTCCCCAACTAGATCAAGACACTGAGTCCCTATTTAAGGAAGAAATAGCGAAACGAGTTTCTGAGGTCGACAACGGGACTCCTCCTGAGGTAGCCTGGCACAACATTCAGTTAGCTATAGACACAGCTGCAAAAGCTGTTAATAACTTAGAACCAAAAGTAATTAAAAGCCATTGGATCTCTACCGCCTCATCCGAACTAATTGACGCAAGAAGACTGATTCCGACGAGCTCCGATTATGATGAGGAGCGAAAGCTACTCGAACGCGAAATGACAAGAAGTCTTCGTAATGACCGTGAATAGTGGTGGGCGACAAAAGCGAAAGAGATGGAAAAGGCATCGGCGATTGGTAACACCAGACAAATATTTAGACTTGTCACGGAAACAGGTGGTAAAAGACAACGATAAGTGAAACAATCTCTGAGGAAAATGGCACCCTAATTAGCTCCCAGGATAGACAACTGGAACGCTGGAAAGAACACTTTGAGGAGCAGTTGAATTGGCCTACAGTCACACTCAACTTACCGAATATTCAACACCTCCCAGAACGGGATATAGACACAGGTCCTCCGTCACTAACTGAGGTCACTAAGGCTGTCAATAGTCTGAAATGAGGCAAAGCATCAGGTCCCGATGGAGTGATTCCAGAGGTATTTAAGTACGCTGGAGACAGTTTGCTGTCTGCGTTAACTAAGGTACTAAGCAGCGTCTGGGAATCAGAGGAAGTCCCGTCAGATTGGTGTAAGTTATTAGTCATCCCCATATATAAGAAGGGAGACAAGTCTTTTTGTGATAATCACAGGGGGATTAGCTTGACTAATATGGTACCTAAAGTTCTAGGCTCAATAACAAGGCGCAAACTAAGCGGTCCGCGGGAGGAACAAACACGAGAGACAGGCTTTAGACCAGGAAGAGGGTGTATTGACCATATCTTCACCCTTCGACAGATTGTGGAACATAGGCATACTTACCGGCGTCCAACAATCGTCAAATTTTTTGACCTAAAGGTAGCATTCGATTCTGTCGACCGATAGGTACTATGGCGATGCTTAGCCGTGAAGGGAATGCCGAGAAAATACATTGCACTGATCAAGGAACTATACTCGAACTCATGCAGTCAGCCCTGTGAGAGCTTACGGTGAGTTGCTGCCTGAAGTGGTGAAACCAGTGGTGTCCGTCAGGGATGCCCATTATCCCCATTTCTATTCAATTTCGTCATAGATGTACTAATGGATTTAACCCTAACTCACTTCAGAGACTCAGGGACTGACTTTTTACCAGGGTATGTTCTCGTTGACTTAGAATATGCAGATGATATAGTCCTTCTTGGCAAGGACGCTGACAAAATGCAGTCTTCTGAACACCTTGAGCCGTAATCTACGAATGTGTGGCATGCGATTCGCTCCCGCCAAATGTAAGATGATGCTGCAGGACTGGTCTACACTGACTCCTAGCTTAGAAACAGGGAGTGAAGTGGTAGAGCACGTTCACCGCTTCACTTGTTTGGAAAGTTGTATCAGCCCCAACGGGTTGATCACTGACGAAATCTTAACACGGATACAGAAGGCTCGTTTCGCATATGCCAACTTACGCCATCCCTGGTGTAGACGTGATATCCGGCTATCGACCGAAGGGTGGGTGTACTGCTCAGCAGTCGGCTCCGTCCTCCTCTATGGCTGTGAGACCTGGCCATTGAGAGTGGAAGACATGAAAAGGCTAGCTGTCTTTGATCATAGATGCATGCGTTCTATCTCCCGTGTGAAGTGGCATAATAGGGTGAGTAGTATTGAGGTGATGCATCGGTCGAGTGCTAGGCAAGGAGGGGAAATCAATCGACGAGGCTGTGAAGTTGCATCGACTGAGATGGTTAGGACATGTGTTACGCATGCCTAGCCATCGCCTTCCTCGACGGGCAATGTTAGCTGACAAAGGGTCAGGCTGGAAAAGAGCCAGTGGTGGTCAAACCAAAACATGGCGCCAGTCAATGAAATCCACAACAGTTAGTTTAAGCCACGTAGGAAGGTGTAAACTTCCTGGTTGCGGTTCCCGGGACGGTGAAAACCAATAGCAATGATATGGCTTAAAATCGTTCTCAATGGCTGGTGCAGATGCATCCACTCCTTGTGACTTATGATTTCAAATGAAACTATATTGCTCTTCGTTATTACTATTCCTTTTGTCTCATATCCCTGTCTACTATCTTTATTTTGCATTTCCTTTTACTTTCTTCTCTTGCTTTGTGTGCTGAGTGAAGTGTGGTGACTCGAACTGCTGGACATCGGTGCAGAGTTCTTTGTTGAATCCAGTCAATCAGCCAATACAAATTAAATTTTGTCCCGAAGTTTATGCTGTAAAGCATACTATTTCCTTTTAGTTCATTCATTCATATATCAAATCATTTAAACTGGATGCCTCTTTTCCTTCCCAATCCTTATATATGCATAATGTCTCAAAGTACTTTTGTTGTTTCTTTTAAGGCGTTACTTGCCCAATTGATTCAACATTATCATCGTTTTCAAAAGGTGATGACACAAAGCCCATACAAAAATATGCCTATACGTAATCAACTGGTAAATATACATCAAATAACCAATGAAATGAAAAAGTGTAAAACAAATTTTTCTTGAAAGCTGTGATTTTCTTGTCACCATTGTTTGTTTAAATTGATTCCATTTTCTCATCTACTTTATTTATTGTATTCCTGTTCAATATGTTCAAGTAGTCTGTTATCTTTTTAAGTGTTATTATATGAATTGACCTCATCTCTTTTCCTCTCTCTGCTCATGTGAGACACCCTATTTTTTCCTGATAAATTTTTATATTTTGGATGTTGTGGTGTGTTTTGTTTCCTTTTTTATCAATATATTTTTAATATCTTGTTTATTTTGAATTGAAATTTATGTGTATTGTGTATTTATGTGTATCTACCTTGAATACTCTTTCAAGCCTTATTTTCTGGCTGACTATTGCCACTGTGATAATCTTGTTCAAGAAAAAATAATATTAACTGAGGTGTTTTCTGTTTTGTAATCTGTATGTGCATATAACATGTGGTCAGTACTGTTTTGGTTAAGTGGTCTTTTTGCAAAGAGCATTAGCGAAAAAGGTAATAATTATTTGTCACATTTCGCCTCTTGGCTATTCTTCGACGCTTTGTCAAATGATATTAAGTTGAAATTAGATGATTAACATGCTGTGTTGGTGGTCCACTGGTAGAATGCCTACCAAATATTTGGATTCGATTTCTGGCCAACTCACTACTATTTATTGATTGCCTAGTTGGTGGTTGTTGTAGATGCAATATAAACAGACTCTTCCAACTAAAACTTCCAAGAATGAAGTGCTATGACCGATTTAGAACACAAGACTTGTAGAGAAAAGAAGAAACTTTCTGGAGTTGGTTTGTAAGGATTAAATTTGACCACGGATTGATATCAGTTAGGGAACCATTGAAAACCAAAGAGTACTGGATAACTGGCTTATATGCAGCTTTTTTGAAGGCTTTCATTTTGTTTTGGTAGGTTTCTTGCACTAGATACTGATACGAGTCCACGCCTGCTTCTATTCTCCATATAGTGTTTAGTAAACTGTTTTCACATTTTTGAGATTGGTATGAATTCTCTGATATTTTGTGTCCATCTGATCAGACCCAAGTTGGTTTATGCTTATCTTTTTAATTGCACTCACTGCCTCTAACCATCAAACATGGATATGTCTTCAAAGATTTCTCCGTTCTGATTTATTTCACCAAGCGCCCATCCAAATAGGATAATCTCTCTATTTATTTTGTCAACTCCCAGTTTGGCTGGCACTAATATCACCTATTAGAATTTTGGTACCATCATCTGTCTTATCCATTAATGTTTGCAGCTGCCTTTGTAAGTCTTCCATCTCTTGATCAGCATTTGGTTTAGGTGCGCTGGATTGTATAATTGTAACTTTCCTGTCTTTTGAGTTGAATCTAATTGTCACGATCCTACAGGAGATTGGTTGCCACTGTATGATATCTTTGGGTGTTATTAGTGACAACATGGTTGCCACTCCGTTTCTGTGTGCTAGTGGCTGACGTCTAGATGGTCAGAGTAGATTATAGACTCAGTAATAATTTGAAGGACCCACTTCCATTCTATCTACTCTCAAGGGTTCCTAACACTTCTATACAATATCTCTTGATTTCTTCTACAATCTCAGTAGCATTGCTAGACTCAGACATCGTGTGGAGATTCCTTCTTACTATACTTACTTTCGGTTTCATTGAAAGGTGACTCATTGTCCGACTGGCTTCTTGGAGGCTTTCTTTCGCTGGTATCATCCGTCCTCCAACTCATGTGTCTTTCCGACTCCAGGAGGTTAGTTTCGGTACCAACGGATTTAGTCATTTATGTTTGGCGTTGTTAGCTATACTCCCAACCAATTAGTATACTAAGTCTTCGATGAAGCGGTTAATTTGTGGAAAGCTAAACAGAACAAGGTAGTATATGAATTACCATAGTTTCTGTTTACTGCAAATTAACAGAGGCTAACAAGTCAGGTGGAATGATAGAAACGGATTTCATATTCAGTTTAAAGATTTACAGGAAACAGTGACTGTGCCAAGAGGGATTGATTGAGAATGGGGAGTAATGTGCAGCAAAAACAAAAAAAATTAAAAAATCCAACTTTTCTGTAACAAATACTTCCAAAATGTGTAATGTATAATACATGCTGTCTCCTTTCGTATATGCTTCCGTAAAAAGCTGTTAAGACGTTTTTTGTAATCTAAAAATTTGTATTTTTTAAACTGTATGATAAGTTAAAAAGGCAGTTATACTGTTGAAAAGAATCCTAATGTAACAACAGAAGGTAAGACACGGAATTCAAGTTATATTTTTCATTAATCAAACCTAAATAGGACTAGCTGAAGGATTCCAACCACTCATTTGAAAGCCGAAACCCCACGAGTGTTTCAAACAAATTAATTGTATCATTTGACATAACCTTGTCCACAGGGGTCCCAATTAACGAAAATGCCGATGTTTTTAGCCAGCATTTTGAAATTCTCCCTTTCCCGGTGCTGGAATTTAAACGCATGTAACTAATGTGTACCATGGACGCGTGATTCCAGTTAAATGACATTATTTATCATCAAACGGATTGAGTAGCTTTCGGGAGACTACTAAGCCTTGTATTAGCAGATATCATATTTAATCTTCAGTTAACAAACATGAAGTGTGCAGTCGTAAAAGCAACCTGTAATTGTCGATTCGTCATTAATATACTTGTAGTATATGACACTGAAAGACACGAGTCCGACCTACTTGGATTATTGAACGACACATAAGAAAATATTGACTTTACTATAGCATATGACAGCACTGGAAGTTTCATTTTCCTTGATTTATTCATTTCTTTGTCACCTATCTTCAAAAACTATTCATGCTATCCCTTTAAATATAAGCCAGTCGTAAAGTGTATCAGACGTATGACTGCACACTATATCTGGCCTCTACATGTACTCAAAAACTTCCAAACATGTATTTTCAGTTCTGGTCTCTTCTTCGCCTCTCTCATATTTTTGGCAGGTGCGTTTGTAACTAACACTTTTCTAGGGAGTTTATTGTTAAAATAATAATAATAATAAACTGTTCACTTTTAAAAGAATCAAAAGAAAACATTTTTCATGGTCACATTCGAGAAAAACAAAACAATTTATAGTCATTCCAATTGAGAGTGAAAACATTTCTGAACAATCTTATAGTTTCCAACTACTCCAATATATGCAAACTTACATGCTACAGAATAAAGCAGAAGGAAGTGTAATCAAAATAGTTTTGTCAACTTAATTACAGTGATGAAGTTGAAACCAATGCTCAGTGATTGTCGTGCACTTTTCTGAAAAATGGAAATCTCTAATTAGCGGTGATGTTTTCATTGGATCATTTGAAGCTGAAACAGAGGCCATCACAACTGAAAACAGCCTACACGAATAAAGACGACAAATTTCAGCAGAATAATTGTTTTGCAGTGGAAGAAATTCTCAGTGGAGAGAATTTCCAATAACCACAGGATGTTGAGGCGATAGGTGTCTTCTATGGTTAAAAGCGATTACATTAGCAACAAAATATTGGTTCGTGGCGCCATGTGATGTTCTTGTGTAATGGAATGCAATGATCAGAATTTATGTATGATAGGAATCTTCTTTTACTATCAATTTGGTTGGACACAAACAACACAGCTTCCCATTATCGCATCGAAAATCTTTTGCGTACCGCCGTTTTATTTTTGAGGTGGTTGCGGTGGTTTAGTCAGTCTTAAGCAAAAAACTCACCGAATACTGACATCCCCTAAAGTGCTGACAACAAGGACTAAAAGGAATTTATTAACCAAGGTGTGTGTATTCGTCTTGAGATTGGCAGACTTTTAAGTTCTTCCAACCAATAACGACTGTCATTCAGATTTCATTCCATTTTTATAAATTACATTGACTTCGAGCAACGCAAAGACAACTGGTTTTGCAGAATAATATGGTATCATCGTTTGCCTCCTCGGCTTTTCAGCCTAGAGAAATTAATTACGTTTATGTACAGAATAATTTTAACGTACTTGCAAATTTGACATTATGTCAGTTAACAGAAGACTCCTGACTTAGTAAACAGTGCTCAGAAATTGCATTCTTTTAGCTTGTACACAGAGATCACTTCACTGAAAGTATGCATGGAATGGGCAATAATTAAATTGCAGTCGGTCTTGTCCAATTAACTAGAAATGAGCATTGGTTTAACAGAACCAGATGAACTTCCTCTACTTAAAAATTAGAGGAATAATTTCTGATTCTCGAAAAAGTATTGAAAGGCAACGGTTGGACTGTGAAATTCAACAAGAAATGTGGAGTATGTGAAGATTTAAATGCGAACCAAATCACAGTGGAAAAGCAGCCCAGTCTTATACAACTCGATTTCGAAGGTGATAATATTGGAAGAATAGTTAACAGTAGATTGAATATCTCACTCGCCAGTATCTTTCCTACAGCTTAGTTGATTCCCGTTTATCAAACAACATGCTCCTTAGTACAATCACAGATACACTTTTAATGTTTGGTTTAACTGCATATACATATTTACACGTATCTCTGGTAGAATAACATTCAGAGAACAGAAAGGATGACACACCTTCGATTCTCTGAACACAGACAACATAGTTCAGTTCTCAATTTTACCGAAGCTACCGTTATCCAACTTTTGAAACTGTATTTAAGTGTTCAGATAGAAGCAGTTATCAGTTTTTCTTTACTCTCTCTCATCTGCTGAGTTTCAGCATCGGTTGGGTGACAAGCTATTTTAAATCTAGACGAATGATGCATTCAATTGCATAGAAACCTGTACACTTTCTTTAGTGCCTTTTGAGAATTTTGAAAGACACTTTTCGTTTGCAAAACACATAAAATCTAACTTAGGTTTTATGCAAGCAATAAATATTCAGCCACGAATGTCGACGGACTGGCATTTATTCTTGAAGCAATAAACTTTTCTGTAAGCACTGTAGATAAAAATTGCAGAGCAGAAAACCATAGATGAGCTATTATATATATTATTGTTCCTTTGTTTTCTGAGTTGGACATAGAGCTTTAACAGCATATTTCCGCTTTTTCCTATTCTCTACTGTCCTCTTTATTTGGCCCCACGATTGACCATAGTCACCGATATCCTCCTCGCACAACCTCCTGCAAGCACCCTCAGGTTTCACTCGATCAAGGGACTGGCGTGCTATGTCACGCAACAGTCTCCTCATCATACGTTTGACCTATTGCCACTTTCTTCGAGTAACAGGTTATGTTGACAGAGTTTTTTTCCAATTCTTTATGACCATTTGATCTTCAATGGTTGAACTACCACTTTCATATCCTGGAACACTAATATTCATTGTAATGTTCACAAATATACTGAATTCATAAATGCAAAATTAAAAATATTCACTCCGAAAAGAGGGTGAAAGACTGATGGGTAATAGAAAACTTTTTATTGATATACTAAAATTATCTGCAGGATCATTAACGACCGATAAACACTGAACACATGTTTTTTTTTAGATAAGGACTACTCTGACCAAC